AAAAAAAAAAAAAAAAATGTGTACACTTTTTCATTAAACAATTAGGTACTATTGTTGAAAAAAAAAAAAACCACCATTGCTTAAAGTTAAAGTGAACTTGGTTAGTTATTAGTGAGTATATTAAAATAATATTTAAAATAAAATAAATAAAGTTGTTTTGATTTAAAATATGAGAAAAATGATTAGAAATGATGATTAGTTAAAATTATGCGAGTGTATGAATAGTGAATTAAAGTTGATGTGATGTGTAAGAATGATTGGTTGATATTATTTAATTATATTGATAATATGTAAGATAGTGAAGTTGAGTTAAAATTGAGTTGAGTTTTGATTGATTCTTTTAGTGTAGAGTTTATATCCAATCAACCCCTTAGCTTTTTTTATAAGCTTTGATACATGCAAATTAAGTCGTGTAAAGTAGTTTTTTAAATTAAACGAACAAATTAAAACTAAACGAGTTTGGCTCGTTAAGGCTCAAGTCCGGCTCGGTTCATCAAATTCGATTCAATAAGGCACGCTAAGGCTAGAAAAGAGAATTTTTATATAATTTTGTATAGTTCGATTCGTTAAAACTCTTGATCGGCTCATTAATGCTCGAACTCGACCCTTTATTAAACGAGCCAAGCTCGAGCTCGATTTTTGGCTCGTTCAAGCTTGGCTCGACTTGACTCGTTTACATGCCTACGCGTAAGTAATGAAAAAAAATTCTATGTACCGCATGAGGTGTATAAATCGAGTTCTCGAGCAGCTTGTTTCACAGTCGAGAACATCTCCCATAAAATCAAGAAAAAAAAAATAAATAAATCTAACTTCTAACTTTGCTTGATTTTACAATTTTCTTTTTATTGCAACTAAAAAATCATCTTGCTGATTTAAATCAAGTGCTTAAAATCTCAAAAAATCTGGTGCAGAAAACACTGATTTTCAGAGTGGGACCTTGAGGATGTAATTGCCAAGCCACTTGGGGCATGTGATTAATATGTGGCTTTTTAACCAAAGGTCAAAGGCTAAAGTCTATACTCTACTTATGGTCCAACCATAAAAAAGGACTCATGTTTCTTTGCTACTTTTAACATGTTGGATAATTTTGAATCCCAACAAAAAATATGCACTTCACAAAAAATAAACTTTTCTTTTCTCTTTATCTACATAATAAAGTAGCAAAAGAGAAAAAAAAAAAAAAATCATTTTGAGATTCTTTTATAGTTGGAGTTTTTTTTTTTTT